TTTATTTATACAGGTTAGTCTCATTGAAACACAATTGTCTCATTTGTAACAGTGACCTGTTGTACAGAAAATAAACAGTAAARTCAATACAATCAATAAAACACTTTTTTTTTTCAAAATAAACATATCAACAAAAGTGCATCTAAATAAATTCAAACAACCCCATCTCTAACTTTAAAATTTAATTTGATATGCAACTGATGTTTTATGCAGATGACTCAGGAGGTTAAAAATGAAGATTTATCTGTGCACAAAAAATAAATCATTACTGGAATAATAACACACCAGATATAGTAAGGAGAAAGTGTACTTATATTATAATACTCTAAGTAGTTTTTTTAGTTGCTATAACAACAGAAACAGAGTGAATACATGATGTGTTTCTCCTCAGCTTCTTCCACTCTGATGTTGTGAGTTTATGTATTTCTGATGAGTCAACCTGCAGACCGTTGATCATATAATGTTTTATTTATTGAGGCTTTTGGCTMAGCTGTAGTGTGTGACCTAGTTTCAAAAATAAGTAGCCTAGAGCATCTGGAGGCGCCYGAAGGAAGGCCGTATGTGTTCAGGAGGGGGCGGGGGGATGTACTGTAATAAATTAGAAAGACAAGAGGATGAGATAGACAAGTTAAAACAGATGTAACAGGTTTTGTCATTGATTTTTCAGAAAAAGAACAAAAAATAAATATMGTCGGCATCTAAATTATACATAACTCCACATGTTGGCCCTGCTGCACTCAGTTGAAGTCAGAGTTATGAATAATTTATTGTTTCACCTGCGTTTGACCTGGAAATCTGATTTCAAACTCTGAGTGAAATCACCAGAAGAGACTTGGCTGCAGTAAAGTTCACACCCTGAGTTTCTGAAACACAATTGTCCATTAACAATGCAGCTTTTTAACAACTTTCAACAATTTACAAAACAATTTAACAAATAAAAACAATATTTAGAGTGATTTGGCAAACTACAGCAGTTCACAACAAGAMAAGAACCATCCAGGTTGTCAAAAGCCTGCCTCTCTGATGGTATGGAGGTGCATTAGTTCCTATATGTGCAATTTACACATCTGGAAATGCACCATCAATGCAGAGATGTTTAATGTCTTTCCAATTCAACCTTTTTGTTCCACTTTGAACATTTTACACACGTTTTTGTAATTAGCTTTGTCATTAAAACAACCCTGTAGCCTTGAATCAGTCRTTACTTTTACATATGAACGCTGGTAAGATGTTAACTTTAAATCAGACCAACCAGACTCCTGACTGAAGACTGTTAAATGCAGAGTAAACATCGCCTTTGTTGTCTCTGCCTTTCTTATTGATCAGAACACACTGCTTAAATTACTCAGAGTGAATGTTGAGCTAAACAGCTTAATTAATCAGTTCAGAGGCTCCGAAAACAAAAGGGTGTTCATTAGTTGGGAAAACTGCAGAACACAAGTCAGAAAACAAGAACATTAAAAAGTAATCAGCAGGTTTAACAGTCAGTGACGTCATTCAAAAAGGCAGGAGTTCAATGTGTGGGAAATACCAATATTTTTGTTTACTCCTTCACTCTGTTGGGAATAGCTTGCCTAATACCAAGCTGATAATTTGTTCAATAGCTATAGAAATGACTGTGTTACAGCAAACTTTATGATTGCTTGTATGCTTGGCAGCCATCTCAAATTGCGTTGACTCTAAAAAATAATTAGTTGGAGATGTCCATCTCATGATAACTGTCTGAGTTGTTAATTAAAATCTGTCCAGTTGCAATAAATTCAATAAATTCACAAAAAAGTCACATAAAATAGCTCAAGCCCCACATTAACAATATAAAAAAACTAAAAGGACCAGTTTCACATTAGATATGTTTATTATAGTGATTTAAATGGGATTTTAGTGAAGTGATGATGGTTAGTTTTTGTTAATTTTGGTTTTATAAAACTGGTCAGTGTGGTTGTATTGTAGCTCACAAACACACACACACACACATACACTCACACACACATCAAGCAGAAGGAGAAACCTTCTGTTTATGAAGAGATGGAAGCTGACGTGGCTCCTGTGAGACCAGAGTAACAGGATGGGAACAGGATCGCAGCAGCAGCAGGCGTATTGCAAAATGCAGCCACACTGAGCTCCAGGCTGCTCCAGCTGACCCCCCCCCCCCCCCAGCCCACACACACACACACACAGACACACACACCCCACTGGAGATTCTTCAAAAATGGGTGACATCATTTCTAAGAGCTTTCACTGAGCTGTGAGTTCTCTGCTTTCCTCTGTGGCTTTACCTCTCCCTCCCCAAATCAGGCAGCACATAATGAACAACAAAAAAAAAAAGAATAAAAAAAATGTAAAATTGATGCCTTTACATCTATTATTTAAAAGAAGAAAGAAGCATCACGGGCTAAGTGTGGTAGAAGAGTCAGTGAATGTACTGACTGGGAAAATAATGGGAGATCCTAAACCTGTGTCACATATTTAGTATCTGTTATGTGATGTTGGCTCTGTGAGCTCCTCGGCTCCATCCGACCCATGAGGCAGGTACTTTTAAGGCCTGGCAGCTAAACGTCTTTACTCCCTCCATCGTGGAACTGGAGTCGATCCAGCTGACTGAGATGCTGTGAGTAAATCCCTCTCCTCCTCCATATATCCATCTTTGACTTTCCTTTTCTGCTGTGAAAATATTAAACTAAAACCTGAGTCAGACATGCTGTGTGACCACACTGACGGACTTTACCCTCACATGAGTTCGTTTCGATTTGCATAATGTTGTTTGTGTCTTTCTTCTATTGACGAAACATCCATATCTGTGTGCTCGGCAGGGACAGGAGATATGAAACAGACAGCAAAGTTTCAAATAATTTGTGAAAAGCTAATGATCATTTTTCAGGTGGTCAGCAGGCACATGCAGAWATATGCAGGGTGAAAGAAACAGGAAAATGATAACAGATGTGGCTGAATAATCCTCATTGTGTTGACTGCTGATACAGCTTTTAAACTGGTAACTTTAGGAAAAGTGGAATTTTATCAAGTAGTCAGAAAGGTGAGTGCAAACATTCATTTTATTTAAGTTATTGCATTTTTTCAGAAAATTTTATAACATAATGGTGAAAATCTGTAATCAAAAGTATTTCAGTACAGTTTTTTTGTACATTTCTAAAATTAAAGACCTTACTTGAATTGATAAACAATTCCCACAGTTAAAAGCAAAAAAATAAATAAATAAATAAAAAAAATCACCGAATGGATGCCACTAATTTGTTGGAAATGACTCTCAGCTTCAAGCTCACCAAATTTTTGCTCAATTTCTCCAGTTGTGGTGGCCATCTTGATCTGGTTTAACTCCAAAAGGTAATTAATTGTAGATGTATATTCATTCGTTACTATGAGCAAGGGCATCATTTTAATTCTACCATGGGGGGTGGGGGGGTTGCTTGAAAACATGACATTGTACATTTTTAAATCAAGTCAAAATTACCTAAAGACAAGAGAGTTGCATCTGTCTACCAGTTAGTTTCTATTGTGTTTGAGCAAATGATGCCATTTTATTGGTGGGTGGGTGGGGGAGTATTGACTGGATCAAATTATTGTGGGGGTCATAACCCCCCCTAACCCCCCCTGCAAATTACGCCTATGACCATGTGTAAATTTCAGAAAGATTAGTCCAGTGGTTCATGATATATTTTGCTAACAGACCCACAAACACGCACAAGGTTCATTCTGCTCATTTCTTCCMTTCAGCATCTCCCCGTGAGAAACAATCCCTGATCCGGACTCTTGGAGYCTCGGTGCGCTCCTGATCGGGACTTTGGGAGCGCCGGTGGTGGGTGAGGGGTTAAACTCCGCTCGGTAGTAGGAGGTGGGTGGTACACTGGTACAGGAGCTGAGGATGGAGCGATGCTGGTGCGTCGAGCAGAGAGGAGTGAGGTGAGGACGCGTCCGAGGACTGAACAGATCCGGGATCCTCCTGCCTGTTTGATCCTGGATGGAGCCGCGGACTGGTTTTTGATCAGCTCGATCTGAAACGCTCTGACAGCTCGTGGAAGACTCAGGAAATCGATATCTGAGGATCGATGCTGTGAACTACTCACATGCACCTTGCTACAGGCTGACTGCAGAGACTGGAACTGAGAACCAGAACCAGCCTCGAGGAATCGGTTCTGCGCCTGGAAGTTGGAGAGGGATTTCTGCAAACTTGCATCCTTTTTTTTCTAATCTGAGGTGTGATAACCTACATCTGATCCCAGAGCAGCTCCCTCCTCAGCATCCCTCATGGAAAGARCCTGGATCTGACAGCATGGGACAAACGCTGGGGTCATAAAAGCAGAAAAAGAGACGCCTCGTTTCTTATTTCAATAAAAACTACTGCGTTCTTCTGCCATGCTCAATCAGCCCAGCGTTCAGCTGTGATGGTAAATTGTGAAAAGTCTTGGTTTGCTCAAAGTATCGCGAGAGTCGGCCCTAAGCGCTCCAGGTCACCCAGAAACCGCGGGCGCCACGAGACCCGCGGACGGCGCGCGCCATGGATGATTCTGGGATCATCCGAAGACGGAGGCTGCAGGTGAGAAGTTTTTCACACTCACGCTTCTTGAACATATTTAGTGTCAAAATGATAAATTAATTGGTTGCTTTTTAATACAGCTGTGTTACTCTCATCCTTCAGTATTTTATGTCCGTATAAAAATATCCAAGGAGTAGGAGGAAGCATTCAGATTTTATGCTCCACTAATCTGGAACAAATTTACAGAAAACWGTAAGAATGTGGAAACCCTGTTTTTTTTAATCAAGGTTAAAAATTTATTTGCCTTTGACAGCATCTATAAAATCATAAATATCAGTCTGTGGTTTATTAACTTTTCTTTGCATTCCTTTTATTATGCCAGTGTAGGCCCTATTTTTATGTTTTCTCCATCTAAAGCAGTGTTTCCCAAAGTTGGGGTCGGGACCCAAAGTGGGGTCCCGAAGCGTCAAGGTGGGGTCCTGAAAAGATCTTCTGAGTTAATTACATTTTTGCCTTAGTTGTTACAAATGAGTGAGGTTAGTGTATTTAAAATGGATAAATGCAATATAAAAATATTTTTACCATGCCCATGTTTTGTTGACCTGATACAAATGTTTATCATCCAAAAATAGTTGGGGGCACAGGTCTCTGCTACTGTTATTTTGTGGGTCAAAAGCTGAAAAGTTTGGGAACCACTGCACTTTGGTTCCCAAAGTTGGGCTTGGGACCCAATTATGGGTCATGAAGCACCTTGGATAATCTCCAGAAATCAATTTAAAGGGTAATAAAATAATTGCTGATGTAATATTTTCCCTATAATTATTACAAAAACACAAAATAAGTAAAAATAAGTATTTATATTTGTGTATAAGCTGCTTAGATTGTCAAAAAGCCTGTGTTTTTGGAGATATTAACAAAGTTTATGTACTCAGACCAGTAATATTTGGAGTCACACGTTTTTGCCATGRATATTTTGTGAGTCAGAAGACAAAAAGTTTGGGAACCACTGATCTAAAGCACTTTGAATTGTCTTGTTACTGATAGCTACAAATAAACTTATCTTGCCTTGCTTTATACCTGCCAGATGGTCTTAGAGCTGGGGGTGTGGAGATTTTTTTGCATGTCCCCACTGCAGAAATTTTGAAAAACTCTACTATGGATTTTCCAACCATTTGAAATTCCGTTCATTTTCTTTACACACTTTTCCTTCCTGGGTCACGAGGTCACATGGTGCCAATGTGCTGCAGTCACCGTAGGAGGCAGGGTACACCTGGGCAAGTCCATCACAGGGCCACACGAGACTGCTTCCCCATTTGAAGGGCATTTCATTTAATTCTAGGATTAATCAATATATTATAGAAAGGAAACACTGACAACTAGCCTTTAAGCTGAACTTTATCAGAGATCAAACATTAAAAATGCATTACCCTTCTTAGAGATGTCTCAATACCAGTTTTTCCTCAAACTGAGTACAAGTAGAGTAGAGCCGCTGCTCCTCCACGTCGAGACGAGCCAGTTGAGGTGGCTCGGGCATCTGGTAAGGATGCCTCCTGGACGCCTCCCTGGTGAGGTATTCCGGGCACGTCCCACCGGGAGGAGGCCCTGAGGAAGACCCAGGACACGCTGGAGGGACTATGTCTCTCGGCTGGCCTGGGAACGCCTTGGAGTTCCCCCGGAGGAGCTGGAAGAAGTGGCTGGGGAGAGGGAGGTCTAGGTCTCCCTTCTGAAGCTGCTGCACCCGCGAACCGACCCCGGATAGGCGGAAGAAAATGGATGGATGGATGGATGGAGTACAAGTACTTCAGTTTGGTATTCGCCAAGATTGAGCACCACCATTGATTACTAGTTAGAACTTAAACATTACACAATGACTTTAAAACACATATCTTTTATTTAGTTTGTCAGATCATATATGCAGCATGATACTGTTGAAACGTTTAAAAATTTTTCTAATAACTTGCATACATTTTTTTAAACATGGATCTGACAAACTTACTGTAACACAAAGTATTGATACTATCAATACTAGTGTTGGTATTGATCCTGAGTATTTTGACATTTTATACGAGCACTTGCTGGTTTTGGGACACCTCTATTTCTTATTAACACACCGAACACCTTCAATTTGTCGATTTCATCAAACGTTTCTTTTTTTCTCACAAAGTGAGAAATGGAAGCCCGTACTGGAAATAAAGCTGCAACATAAAGTCAGGAACACTCATTTACACATAAAAAAACATAAATTTGATGCACATTTTTTAACACATCTGTGCTGTTTGTGAATTCCTTTTTACAAAGAACTTTGCACGAGCTCTTGTCAGCGCGTGTTTGCATGACTTTCATGGATGTGTGTACATATGAAATCGACTCCGACCCCCCCCTGCTTGTACTCTCCATTTTCACTGAAGTGGTCGATATCCATATCACAGACGGAGGAGGTCTAAATGCTGAGGATGTGGTGCAGTTGTCAGGCCCATTAGCAGGACTAATGGTGGCCTAAGAGCCCTGTGTTCCCTCAGGGAGGAAGACCAACCACCAGCAGCAGGACAAGCTGTAAAAGCTGGAGGGCAGTGGGGGGGTTAGGTGGGGGCAGCATAGATTGGAAGTGAGCAGCAGCTGTGGGGCTATAGGAGACCCCATTTAAGCGGCTATTACAAAACGTGGATCCCTTCACAGCCCCGTTCACACCAGAGAGACAGAGGTGGTGATTGTACGGTTATAGCTCAATATTATTGAGTTATAACTCAATATAAAATATAGTTTAATATCACATGTCTGGTATGAACAAGTTAAAGGAGATTGAGCAGTGGAATCAGATTTGTTGGATGTAATTGAGTCACATCACTTTTATTTTGTATATTACATGACAAAGTACTTCCTTTGAGGCTTTTTCCTCTGAAAGTGTGCAAGTTAGCGAGATAGATCAAGTTTATTATCAAGGCCACTGCTGCTTTATCTCATGCTGCTTTCATCAGCTGACAGTCAGTGTAGTGTGTGCTAAAATATTCAGCTCGACACTATTTTAAATGATCTTATTATGAATCTTTGTGGCTTTACTGTGACATCCATAATTACAGCATTCTGTACTTTGTGTTTGTTGTATTTTCTTAGCCAAAAACAAGTTGCATGCTTCATTTCTTTCACTTTATTTTACTGTAGGTGTTTAAAACACATCTCCACTGCTTGGCAGAAAGATYTAGTACCCTGTGGTGTTTAATCTGGTTGGTAATGAAACCCATTTAAAAATAGAAAGTAGAYCAGCTACAGAGATGATTAGCTTTGTGATTAGTGGCACCATTCAGTGCATTTTATTTGACTTTAGCCGCGTCTTCTGCTGTAAAGAACAGTGTGTCATTGATGTAACTCGTTCTCATCTCCGGTGAAGATCCTCATGCTGTTTAGTTGTAGAGGTGTGAGGAGTAYACTTAAACTTAACGCTCCTGCGCTCACACTTACAAACAAGCATCAGGGTGTGTGCCTCATCCTTCTGTGAGGAGTAGAAAGCACCATAATTACACACTCAAACGTGCACACACACACACACAGTAGCATGAATTGTCCAATATTTTGTTCTGGGCAGTTTGCCCATTTTCAATATGCTAAGCACAAGGGATAAGAGTGTGATTACTGCAGAAGATCCARCTCTGTTTGCCAAGTCCCGTCACTCACTGCCATACCCGCTGCTGTGTTCTGCCTCGACACGTCCTTCTGATGTCAGGATCATTCAGAAAAGTTCTGTTTAGTACTGAGAGACATCAAAGTGTAGACCAAAGCCAAAGATCAGGACCAGGGGGGATTTGGAAATAGCTTAAAATAGACACACTGCTTTGCCTAAATGCTTAAAAAGCACAAAAGCACATGAAAACCCTCATTCCCAGAACAGGAGAAATTGCATAATTTCAATTACTTTAGATTTCAAACAGTGTCTAGTGTAAAATGAAGCAGTAAAAATTAGTTAAAATGACACTTTCAACTGAGATTCTTGATTAAAGACGTGAATTGAAGGTTTTGCATCCAACTTGAGAGCTTCTGAACTGTTTAACCAATGAATGCACAGGAAGACATTTGCCTCGCAAGCTGCTCGTTGGTGATCGACCCAGAGCAGAAGCCTCAGAGCAGCTGTCTATAAACTGGGGGTGCAAGAAAGTAATGATACACTCAT